GCCGCCATCTTGACCAGAAGTTGAAATATTATCTTAATGCATTTACTTGGCTCAGGAGGGAACATATCCTTTCTTGTACAGTGTTTTTCCTGACAATTTCCTCTTTTCTTTTCCCTGATTTCTTTTTTTCATTTATTTTCAGATAGAGCAGTAGGGAGAGAAACATGTGAGAGAGACACGTCAACTGGCTGCCACCCATACAACCTCAACCAGGGTGGGGACAAACTGCAACTGAGGCATGTGCCCTCAGTGGGAACTGAACCTGGGACTCACTGGTCCACGGGCCGATGCTCTAACCGCTGAGCCAAACTGGCCAGGGTTGTTTTGTCTGATTTTCATCTGGTGTTTAAATCTTCTCACATCCTCTGTACTATGTAACTATCTGCATAGCCCAACCTGTCTGATAATCAAGTCTATCCATCTGAACATCAGTCTGGACTAGAAGCCAGGTTGCTTCACAGCTGTTATCATTCATTTGTGGGATTCCAGTTCTAAACACTACATATTTGTTCTTGAATTACTTGCTTGTTTTGACAGAATGCATCCAGTAGATTAGAACCAGTGAATAGGAAGAAAATCTGAGAGCTTGTATGTCTAAAAATGTTTTTATTCAATTTGCATCATGACAGAATAATTGGGTAGATAATTCAAACTTGTGAAGACAGTACCCCATTGATCCTATTTTCAATGTTACTGTTGAGTATTCTCAACCCTTTTTGCTATGTGGTAAATTTTAGAATATTATCTTTATGTCAAGTCTGATGTCCTAAAATTCCATGGTGATATGCCTTTGTAAGAGTCTTTTTTATTTATTGTGCTAATTTAATATTAGCCTTTTTTCAGTCTTGAGAATTTCATTAGGGAAATTTTCTATAAATTCCATCCATTCCCTTGTTTTCTGTTCTCTTCCTGGAACTCCTATTGGTTGTATATTAAGCCTCCTGAATTGACCCATATTTATTTTTTCCCTCTACTCTGTATTTGTTTTAGAACATTTGCCTTAAATTTTTTTTTCTTCATTGATTTTGAGAGGAAAGGAGAGGGAGGGAGGGAGGGAGGGAGAGAGAGAGAGAGAGAGAGAGAGAGAGAGAGAGAGAGAAACATAGATAAAGGAGAACGTCAATTGGTTGCCTCCTGCATGCCCCCCACTGGGGATCTGGCCCACAACCTGGGCATGTGCCCTGCTGTGGAATGGCAACCTCTTGGTGCATGGTTCGACGCTCAACCACTGGGCCACACTGGCTGAATAGAGCATATGTCTTTTTTTTTTTTTTTTACCCTCACCCGAGGACATTTTTCCATTTTTTGTTCAGAGTGGGAGGGAGAGAGGGGAAGAGAAAGAGAGAGAAACATTGACACGAAAGGGACACACTGAGTGGCTGCTACCTGCACAACCAACCAGGGCCGGGGACAAACTGCAACCGAGGTACGTGCCCTTAGCGGGAACCAAACTCGGTTTCTCTGGACCGCAGACCAACGCTCTAACCGCTGAGCCAAACTGGCCAGGGTAGCACTTTTCTTTTAGTGCTCACTGAATTTATTCCTATTTTAGTTTCTTCTGACATTTCACCAGTATCCTGTTATAATTTTTTTTTTAATCCTCACCAGAGGACATTTTTCCATTTCTTGTACAGATAGAGTGGGAGGGAGAAAGAGGAAGAGAGAGAGAGAGAGAGAGAGAAACATCGATGTGAAAGGGACACATCGAGTGGCTGCCACCCACACCACCAACCAGGGCCAGGGACAAACTGCAACGGAGGTACGTGCCCTTAGCGGGAACCGAACCCGGGTCTCTCCGGACCACAGGCAGACGCTCTAACCGCTGAGCCAAACTGGCCAGGGCCTGTTATAATTTTTTTAATACATCTTTCATCTCAGGATACTCTAGTTCTTAGAAATTTTCTGATTCTTGATGGTTGCTTTTAGTTTGTATCTACCTTTTAAAATAAAAGTTTTCCTCAGTTTCTGGTGATCTTTGGCTGTCCTTATTTAAAAGTGAAGCACTAGCCCTTGCTGGTGTGGTTCAGCAGTTAAGAGTGTTGGCCCAAAGACCAATGGGTCATGGGTTCAATTCCTAGTCAAAGGCATGTACCTGGGTTGCAGGTTTTATCCTTGCCCTGGTTGGGGGCATGTGTCTCTCTCACACTGATGTTTCTCTCTCTCTCCTTCCCCTCCTTCCAATTTCTCTCTAAAAAAAACCAACAAGGGGAAAAAGTGAAGCACTAAAAACCTGTTTGGAAGATTCGTATACATGGGAAGGGTTAATGACTAGAACACAGCACTCACTGTAGAGGGATTGGTGGCCATTTGGCTTTTTGGTGGGGACCCTCAGATGTCAGCATTTACCTTTTCTCTCGAGTTTAGTTTTTCCACAGAAGGGTCCTCCAAATCCTGCCTGGTGTGTGCAAGTGTGGCCATTCATATTCTAGAACTGAATAGGAGGAGGAGCAGCAAGGGCTCATTAATGCCGTATGTAAAATTGTGTTTAATCACTTATTTTCTGCACAGCAGCTCACCGTAGCCTAGTAACCCTGAGTCAGACATCTACTTTTTCCTTTACTTTAATTACTATTAGAATAACTTCAGCCTCTGCCCAGCCAGAGTGGCTCAGTGGTTGAGCATCAACCCATGCACCAAGAGGTTGCCAGTTTGATTCCTGGTCAGGGCACATGCCCAGGTTGTAGGCCAAATCCCCAGTGGGAGGTGGGGGCATGTGGGAGGCTGCTAATCGATGCTCTCTCTCATCGATGTTTCTATCTCTCTCATTCTCCTTTCCTCTCTCTCTAAAATCAATAAAGAAAAAGAAAAAAAAGAATAACTTAAGCCTCCAACTTTAGAAGCCATAATGCAAAATCCTATTCAACTGAGACACATTCACATACATTTTATTAAGGCTCTAAAATTAAAATTTCTTGTTTTAGAGGTATATTCTTTAAGTTCTAAACACAACAATAACATGCAGTGACTGGAGAAAATATAATAACCCCCTACAAAAACTGATTTTGCTTTAGAAATCACTCTTTCATTGAAAGGGTATGCTTTTATTTTCCTATAAACACATTTTATTTTTCAGACACTCACTGTGACCTCAAGAGCACCCTATAGCACTTGGTAAACCTAACTCTTTGTATATGCAATCTAGTCCTATCAACTGTCTTCTCAAATGTAATAGAACTCTAACACATATACAAAAGGAAGAAGAGCAAGCACAGGGATAAAACAGGAGAATAAAATGACAATGTGAATCTCATTTTCAATGAGGTAACATCAACAAGGAAAATGAGATCTTGGCTCATAATGAGTTGAATCTAGATAATTCCAATTCTTTGCTGTATTCAACAGTAACACAATGCAAACCATGATTTTTGGAATAAGATTTTAAAAAATTTAACAAATATCTGAATGAATATAACAATATGGCTAGACCAAAAAGAAAAAAAATCTATCACACAATAATCACTGCAAGAAGATCCCACAGGTTATAGAAAACATAAAGGAACTTTAATATCCAAACAGTCAGGGCAAAGAATACTGGATTAATGACCCACTAAGTGAGAGTCACGTCAGGTTCTTTACAGTACCAGATGTATTTTAAAGTAAAATCTGAATGCATATCGCAGATAATAAAAACATTTAAAAAACTTGTAATTTCCTTACCTGATACTAATGCCAGTAAGTTTAGACTGAAAAAAAATCTTTAAGTGATTTGTTTTAACATTCAGAGTAAGATTTAAACCAAAGTTAGCAATGCTCCTGAAATATGAATTTGTTCAGTAGTAACCTTTTCATCATGAATAATACCACTTTCTTTTCAAAAAGTAGTCAATGTACATTTTAAGATTTGTGCAATAAAAAAATATACTGGCTAATAAAAAGTGTTATTACTTGAGATAGTAAAAATGAAAGAAAAACTATACTTTTGCTTAAATTATTTATGCCCAAATAATTTACCCTGCACTCCACAGATGTGTAGTAAGTATTTCTGAAACAGAGAAAAAGAAGGGTCCTAAAATAGAAACATAAGCCAGAAGAATTTAAAAATAGCTTCCTGATATTTTATTTTTTGAGTTTTTCACTTAAGCTGCTTTTGCTTGTATGCCCTGATCTGTAGAAGTTAACAAGGAAATACAATTTCCAAGTATTTAAAAAATTTACTCATCTTTCACAAAGCAACTTTTAATGTAGCAAGACTTAAAAATACACAGTGACTTAATGAAACATCAGTACAACTGCATAGAATTGAGCTCCAGAGAATTATATGCTTATGAGTTGTCTTTCCTGGGCTCTGGTTTACAAGATTATTGGCTTAGAGACCATCTTAGAGTCATTTGCTCCCACTTGGAAAATAAAGGCCAGGAAACTAAAATTTCACAGGCGTTTTCTGTTCCTAAATAAAGTACTAGGAGCTCTCTGAAGGTCTTCAAAACAACTAACCATCCAAATATGTATACTGGGGATCCTTCCCCTTTGTGAGTCAAGGAAGAGAGTTTGTGACTTTCACTGAAAACAAAACAAAACAAAACAATATCTCCCATAACTATCTAACAGACTCTGAAATGTACTAAAAATTTCAAAACTATAACAGTGCCATCAAAGATTAAACCTCTTAATGCTCGGAGCCACCCCAAAATAATAAAATTGGGAACTCCAGGAAAACAGGTACCAAAATCAAAATAATGATTGCACTGAGGATTCTCCTCTTTGAAGGCTGTTTAAGGAGGTAGGATTTTAAGGTTTTTTTGTTTATTTATCTTTTGGCCTCTGAACATTTAAGAAATGCTTTTCTTGGCTGGTCCTTCAGGCTAATTTTGGAGTTCACAACAATCCCCAAGCCTGACATAAGGATATTCTACAGTTTCACAGCTATCATGTGTAAATATTAAAACTGATTTACTCTTTTTGAGTAAATATAAACTAGAAATGGCAAATTAATATATACCTTTACATACAACTTTGTGTCAAAATTCTCAAAAAATAAGAGCAGATGACTTTGTATTCAAAGACTACCAAAGTGTGTATTTGATATTCACATGCAAACAACTTAAAACCTTATAAATCTCCTGTCAACTCTGCATGATACCTTTAAGAAGGAAAAGACATACAAAGTGTGCTAACTGTGCAAAATATTTAAATGCTAAAACATTTTACATAATGAAATAATACATGTAAATGTAGAAGTTGACACATGAAATTAGCATGAGTTCATAAGAACTTATCACATTTCAGAGATTTTCTTTAGTAACAAGTTTTTGTTTTTATATTTCCTGGTACACAGCAAAATTTATCACAGAAGATAAAAATTATTTTAAACAAAGTCAACAGGGAGTTCTTGAGGCACCTTCTCATATAAAACACTAGATGAATGCAATTAACAATCCATCTGAGAAAAGTTTTCAATCTAAGTGAACATTTGTTTTTCCATTTAAGTATATTTTACAGAACTTTAATAAGGCAAGACAAATTTGTGAAAAAAATGTAGGTACAAAAACGATGTAAACTAATAATTTATATTTAAAAATCCCAAAGGGAAAACGGTGAAGATGGGCTAGTTCAAACAATACCTTTGTAAAAAAACCTAAACAGAATTGTGCACAAGCTGAAGATTGCAAAGAACTTCTAGACTCTGCACAGTTTTGGTTTTTAGTTTTGTGTGTATGTGTGTTTTAATATCTTTATATTACATGTTTTAAATCATATCAGGAATGCAAACTAGAACTGCACACTACTTTAGTGGAAAAAAGTTCAACATTGTGCAATTTTCTGCCTCTTAATTTTAAAAAAGTGGCAGCAATCCCTGCATTTGTATTTGAAACAAGGATCTGAAAAACTTTATTAAAAAAGATAATGAAGGCAAAAATTGGCAGACATCCAGCATCTTGTTTCTTTTTAAAACAATATGAATGATTAAGTAATTTCATGATTTAAAAAATGAACCTTTTAAATAAATACATTGTATCTGACATTTGCACTGACTGATTTGATAAATCTTTAAGTAAACAACGGCTTTACTACACTCTCTGTAGCCTCAAGCCACTGGCTTTAGATTCCGGGTCCTTTTTCACTGGGTTTCATACCCTGCCACTCGATATCCTGCAGGCTGATTAGGCAACATGCTGCCATTCTGTCCTGGAGGAGGCTGCACACCATAATTTGGTCCCATCCACGGTGCAGAAGACTGTGTCTGACTGGTTGAGCATGTGAAAAAAGGAGAGGGGAGGGAAATCCACTGATTAAAATAAAATGTAACACCAAGAACAAATAACATATATAAAGGAAATATACTTTTTTCTTTTCTTTTTTAATATCTAAAAAAGACATGTATTATTTTATTAATTTAATCAATGGGCAGAATGGAGAAAAAGAAAGTTCAGAAAGCATTAAGAAAAACAAGAACAAAAATAGCTAAACTTAACTAATTAGCATAATGGTAAATATACTAAAACCACATAGAAACAAATCCTGCAATGCCAAAAATAAAAACAATAAAAAAATAAAAAGGCATAGTAAAGCAAGTTTACCAAGAAATAAAAAGACAGCCCAGCATTAGAAAAACCTAATTATCTAAAGGAATTAACATTTAAATTTTTTGGAAATATACTTTTTCTTAAGCTCAAATATAAGAATTGTTACGCCAACGAAAGCAAAGGCAAAGATTTTTTCTTCTTCCTAAAAAACAAGCATCCTCATAGGTTTAATTTGTGCAGTTTAATTTTGTTAGTTTAATTACTTCTAAGAAAATACCCTTAACCTGGAAACATTTATCCTCTTTGACCTCAGAAAAAAAACTCATCTTTCATCTCAGGAAGGAATACTGTACAACTGGCTTAGACATACATTAAACAAGCCACTCCCTGTAAAAAACCTGACCATTAGGTATAAGACTAACATTTATATTACTCAAAAAAGAAAGCAAATAATTACTAACACATGGATGCACATATATTTTTCCAACATTTAAATACAAGATTCCTTTTTAATAAAAACTGTAAAGTATTTTATTTTATTTTTTGTTAATCCTCCCAAGGATATTTTCCCATTGATTTTTAGCTAGAGTGGGAGGGAGAAAGAGAGAAACATCGATGTGAGAAGCACATGGATTGGCTGCCTCCTGCACTATCCCAACTGATACCAGGGACTGAACCTGCAACCAAGGAATGTGCCCTTAACCGGGAATCAAACCCACAACCCTTCAGTCCATAGGCTGATGCTCTCTCTAACCGCTGAGCCAAACCAGCCAGGGCACCTAGGCAAAACTTTAAAGAGCTATACCTAAAACTATAAATTAAAAACCACTCTAAATCAAATCCTTCAAAGGCTAAAGCTATGCTTTAGAATAAGGTTTACACTACCTACTAATTACTTAAAATCTCTTCCTAAGTTCTTGACGTTTCAAAGGCTAATAATAAAGGAAAAGAGCAAATAGCTTACTTAAATCCCTGCTGGTTCCATGCCTGGCCATACATTCCATATGCAGGTACTTGCCAACCATTAGGCATATACTGGCCAATTTGTTGTGCATTTCCATACCACTGGCCCCATTGGCCATAAGCTTGTGGATATCCAATCTGATTCTGCTATTAAGTAAAATTATAACATAATTTAGTATTATTTGAAGTTGTATGTCCTAATACACCACAAATAACTAATATACATAGCCATAACACATTGGGCCATCATTACAATTAAAATGAAAGGATAAATAAGAGTTTAGAAAGCGACTGCTAAAAAAAGAGGTAATTTTGCTGTAACTTGATGTGATGCTCTGATAGGCATATTCTTTGTAAGGCACTGGGTAATGTTCTAGTAAGAAATATTAAACTCAGTATAATGTTTAAGTGTTTTGTAAACTATTCACATGACTGTTTCCTTTAGATAAGGATGATATAAAGATTATTTATTTCTATATTCAGTTAACTTACAAAATTTATATTTTAGGATTCTCTTAATCCTATCTTAATGCTCCATTTACAATTCCCTCATAGAAATCTTTGTGGGATCAAGTTAACCACTAAAGCTGCCTAGAAAAACAAAAGTGGCAAAATGCCAAAGTCCTAAACATAATTAACTATATTTTTATTTCAATCATGTCAACAATGCTTGTGAGTTCTCCATATGGTATGTAAATAAATCTACCAAGTATTAAGAAAAAATTTAATAACCTGCTAGGTTTGTCAAAGCATTTTAAAATCCACTGTGTATGAGACAATTGAAGTAGTCACATTCATGTCACCACTGCAACCCATGAGCCACCACTCTGGAACTATAATATGTGTAGGAAGAGCCTTTATATACTTTCATTTTAGTATGAACTAAAAACTTATTAACATGGATTATAAGCAATTTCATTATAAAATAACCTTATTATTAGTATTAGCCTAGTAAATACTTTGCAAAGTCAAGAACCCTCTCACCTGTTGCACGGGATTTATCATATCAAGAGTTTCTTTGCCCCAATAGCATTTCACAACATGACCTTCAATAGTAGTTCCATTAACAGAAACAATTGCATGTGCTGCACTTTCATGGGAGTTGAACCTATTGAAAACAATATTAAGAATCATCAATATAAATTGTTTAAAATACTTAAGAATAAAATGTATATTTAAAAATAAAGTTTAGCCAGACAGTTCATATAAAATACAATGACATATTTCCTTTGCTCCCCCCACAAAGATCTTGTAATTTTGAAGAAACTTCTACTAATTGAGGATGTTTTGCTGGCTATGTGTTAGAAGAACGGAGCTTTTTTTTAAAAAAAGTGGTAAATATGCTAAATGCTAGAGAAATTTTTATTTCTTTACAACCAAAGGTAAATTTTTAAGAAAAGCACTAAGTTAAATATCTAAAAATAATTTGAGGAATAAAAGAGGTTTTTTAAAAAACCACCCCTACCGAACAAATGAATATCCTTTATCTGGAAAGACTCGAATTTCCATTATTTGGCCAAACGGTGAGAAAGTCTGACGCATTAGTTGTTCTGTTAGAAGAAAAAAAAACATTAACTTTTATTAAAATCCAATAATTAAGCTTTTCAGTTTAAAAATTAATCTCAAGCCCTGGCTGGTTTGACTCAATGGTTAAAGTGTCAGACCAAAGAGTCGTGGGTTTGATTCTGATCAAGGGCACGTACCTCAGTTGCAACTGGGTCCCTAGCCCGGGTCAGGGTTGAGTAGGAGGCAACCAATCAGTGTCTCTCTCTCACATCAATGTCTGTCTGTCTGTCTCTCTCTCCCCCTCCCTCCCTCTCACTCTATCTGAAGATAAATGGAAAAATATCCTGGGGTGAGAATGAAAAAATAATAATAAAAATTAATCTCAAGCCCAGCTGGTATGGCTCAGTAGTATGAGCATCATCCCATGGACTGAGAGGTCCCGGTTCAATTTCCCAGTCAGGGCACATGCCCACATCACATCGGTGTTTCTGTTTCTCTCTCCCTTCCTCTCTCAAAAAAAATAGAAACATATTTTAAAAATAAAAATTAATCTTAACATGCCACACAGGTAAAGTTCCCATACCTGTAAGCCCAGAAGTGACACCTCCACAATACACAGTACAGTTGCTTGGACTAGACTGATTTACGACCTCATCATATGACAGCTGTTTGGTGTTTGCTGGGGATGAAAAGTTTTATGTATTTAATTCATTAAATAAAATGTTCAGAAAGAGAAATGCAGCATTAACTATACTACTGTAATGGTAATATTTACCTTGACCAAAATACTTATATAATACATATTACATGACTGAAAATTAAACCTCCCCCAAGAATGTCTAAGAAATTACTCAATATTCTCTATTTAATAGGAGACTTGACATTAGAGATAATATTTATTATTTGTAATTACAAAAATGAAAACTAAGTACATTTTAGAACAGTAGTCTTGCTTTGCTTCTCATCTATTTCTGCAATAAGTCTCCGGGAACAGCTCTAACATTTAAAATCTAGTGTATTTTCCTCCAAAATTCCATATTTCCTTTTCTTCTCCAATACACCTACACTCATATGTACTCTTTGGAGCTGGAGGCTTTCGGGTTGCCCAGTTAGTTCTGATTTGTCTTCCACCAAGCCACTGGCCACCCATCTGTTGAATGGCGTTTTCTGCATCCTGTTGCACACATTAGAAATGACAAAGAAGCCACTATTAGTTGATGTTAAACTGTTAGCAGTAGAGATAACTCATGTTTGCTTTTCACAAATGATTTTTGAATTAAAATGCTTTATGAGATACACAATATATGACAGTTCACCTAAAATGCAACAGCACTTTTAAATTATCTTTCATTTAGATATCAGACTTTGGCTATGTTAATCACCCAAAAAGTCCAAAGTCGAAAAGCCCTTCTGAGGTAACTATTATAAAGTTCATGTAACAATGTAAGACTATTATGGACAAAAATCTCACTTTATACAATCCAACAAAAGTAAATATTGAATAGTTATAATGTTCTAGGCAGCAGGCAATGTGTTAGGGATACATTGCTGAATGGGGCAGACACGGTCTCTGCTGCCATGGAGCTTACATTTTTAAGGTAACAAATAAAATAATTACAAATTGTAGCCCAGCTGGTGTGGCTCAGTGGTTGAGGGTCAACCCATGCACCAAGAGGTCGCCGGTTCCATTCCCAGTCAGGGCACATGTCCAGGTTGTGGGCCTGATCCCCAGTGGGGGGTCGTGCAGGAGGAGGCCAATCGATGTTCTTTCTCATCGATGTTTCTATCTCTGTCTCCCTCCCTCTCTCTCTAAAATCAATAAAGACAAAAAAAAAATTTACAAATTGTGTATTCCATGATAGAAACAAAAGGCGGAGATAGAGATATATGGACATGGGGGTCTACTTTAGGTAGCATGATTAGGGAAGACCTCTTTGAAATGATATTTTAGCTGAAATTGAGAGGAACAGGAACTAACCAAGTCAAAACACCAGGGAAGAAAGCCCTCATAGAGGGAAAAGCATTGTAAACTGTGTAAAGGCAGCAAAGAGATTAGTATGCATCTGAAAGAAGAATGTGAAAGATGACTAAATTTCAGTGGAATCTAGTAAGCAAAAACGAAGGGTACCAGAAGAAAAAACTGAAAGATTTTACGTGAGAGATTATCATGATCTAATTTATGTTTTAAGAAGGCCATTTTTAGTGCTAGGAGAATGGTTTAGGAAGATGGATAATAAAAGTAATAGATACTTTATAAGACTAATATTCAGATTTAAAAAACATTGCTGGTCAAGATTAGTACAGTAGCAGTGAACAGTGGCAGTGAATGTAATCTAAAAAAGTCAACAGAACTGGGTTTAAGGGGTGCGCAGTAAGTAAAAGGAGAGGAATCAAATATAACGCCTAGATTCTTGCTTGGGCAGTAGGGAGGAGAGTGCTAGCATTTACTGAAATAAAAAGCCTGGGAGGGAGGAGCGAAACAAGTCTGAGGAAGAAGCAAAGAGCTCCACTGAAGACATACTAAGTTTGAGATGTCTATAAGACAAATAAATGAAGACCATTTACTTATAATGTGTGGAGCACAAAGAAATAAACTGAACTGTAGAAAGAAAAGAAAGCATCCTGTTACAGCTCTGAAAAACAGCAAAATCTGAAAATATTTGAATAAAGGAAAAAGTTGCTAGCTAAGGTGACTAAGGAGGAGCAGCTAGTGATAAAGGAAGAAATCCACAAAAGTATACTGTCACAGAGCCAAGGAAGCCAAAGTCAAGATGTGAAGTGAACCTGAAAACAGTAGTGTTGGTAGACAGTGGCAGAGAATTGGTAGAGGACGAAAGCCAGTGTACTGAATGGAAAAGTGAGAGGCGTGTAGCTTTCATCTGCAGGTGTCAAATGTGGGCTTAAACTAGCAAAAGAACTGGCAAATTCAAGGCTAAAAGCTATTCTGAGACATACAAAAAGGAAATGCACACTGTAGCTTCCCCTTATCTGTGGGGAATATGTTCCAGGATCCCTAGTTTATGCTTGAAAATGCAGATAGTAGCAAACACTATATATGCTATTTTTCTCCATGTGTACACACACACGCACGCCTATGATAAAGTTTAATTTAGAAATTAAGCATAGTAAAAGATTAACAATAACTAATAAAATAGAATTAAAACAATATATCATAATAAAAGTTATGAATGTAGTCTCTTTCTCAAAATATTTTACTGTACTGTACTCACCTTTTCACTTAAAGAAAGCATTTTATGGCTTCTCTTTGACATAGCTGAATTGCCAGCATCACTATTCTTGTGCTTTGGGGCCATAATTAAGTAAAATAGGGTTAATTGAACACAAGCACTGGGATACCACTATAGTTGATCTGATAATCAAGATAGCTAATTGACTAACAGGCAGGTAGTGTATAAAGTGTGAATACATGGACAAAGGTATGCTTCATGTCCTAGGGGGGTATGGAGTGAGATTTCATCACACTACTCAGAATGACATAAAATTTTAAATTTATGAATTTTATTTCTGGAATTTTCTATTTAATATTTTCAGATAGTAGCTGACCTTGGGTAACTGAAACCAAGGAAAGTGAAACTGCAGATAAAGAGGGGACTGCTCTATTCTTCAAAAGAAACAAACGTTGCCCTGGCCAGTTTGGCTTAGTGGCTGAAGCGTTGGCCTAGGGACCAGAGTCCCAGGTTTGATTCCGGTCAAGGGCATGGGCACGTGCCTCGGTTGCGGTTTCATCCCCAGCCCTGGTTGGGGTCCGGTGGGAGGCAACCTGTGGATGTGTCACTCTCACATGGATGTCTGTCTCTGTCTCTCTCTTTCCCTCCTCTCCTCCCCTCCCACTCCTCGGGTGAGGATTAAATAAATAAATAAATGAAACAAACAAACATTGTTTACCACACTAACCAGTTTGAACTCCATTAGATCTTTAACAACTGTTATGGGTTGAATTGTGTTCCTTAAATTGATGTAAAGTCCTAACTAACACTGACCCCTGTAACTGTGAATGTGAGCTTACTTGAAAATAGTTTTTTTTCACATGTATTGGTTAAGATGAGGTCATAATGGATTAGGGTTGGCCCTAAATCCAGTATGACTGATGTCCTTATAACACAGAGGCCAATGTGGATACACACAGAGGGAAGAGGACCATGTGAAGACGAAGGCAAAGATAGGAGTGATACAACTACAAAGCAAGAAGAGGGAAGAAAGATTCTTCCATAGAGCCTGCAGAGGGAGCATGGCCATGATGACACCTTGACTTTGGACTTCTAATAACCAGAAGTTAGAGAATAAATTTTGTTATTTTTAAGACATTCATCATATGGTATTTTGATACAGCAGCCCTAGAAAACAAATACAACTATTCACTCAAAAAAGAGGGGAAAAAAACAGTTTATGGTGTGTGTACGTATGGTTGTGAATGGAAGATGAAGTGGAAGCATATGCAAACAACTCTTCTGAGAAACTTGATTGTGAATTATAGCAGAGAAATCAGAATATAGGTAGGGAAGGGATAAGGAGGTCAAGTGTTCTTGTTTTTAAATTCATTTGAGAGAGAGAAAGAACATTGATTTGTTTCACCCATCCATGCATTCATTGGTTGATCCTTGTATGTGCCCTAATCAGGGATCGAACCTGCAACCCTGGTACATCAGGACGATGCTCTAACCAACTAAGCTACCTCACCACGGCTAGGACATGCTTTTTAGTTGATAGAAATGATCCAGTAGAGGGGGAAAGACTGATTACACAGGGTGAAGAAACAGAGCACATATACAATTCCATTTTATAGAATATGTTTGGAACAGGGAAATCTATACAGACAAAAAGTAGATTAATAATTGCTCAGGGCTGGGAGGGGAGAAGGTGTAGAAGGAAAATGACAGCGACTGCTAATAAGTACATAATTTCTTTTTAGGATGGTGAAAATATTCTAAGATTGTCGTATGTGATCGTCTCATAACTTTGTGAATATTCTAAAAAAACTAGTGAATTGTTCACCTAAAATGAGTGGATTTTATGGTATGTGAGCTGTATCTCAATAAAGCTATATTAGAAAAAGAATAAGCACAGGATCAAAGTCCTTGAAAAGGCAAGGGAGGTGGATCCCAAATGTAAGTGATTTGACCTTTTACAGGAAGGATTTTTCCTCAACTGTAATAGGAGGAAGAAGGGGAAGACAGGTGAATTATGTAGGTTTGGTGATTAAAAGCTGAGGAATAGCTTCTATTTTCTCAGAGAAGCATAAGATTGGCAGGTCAGGGTGATGGTGGAGAAAAGAGTGAAGAATACCTGAGGAGATAGGAAGGGACATGAAATTGTTATCAAATGGGAAATCAAACTTACTAGAGAAACACAAGTTTGCAAACATAGCACCATGTATTCATTTAACGTGTGTGACCATTAAATTAGAAGTGAAACTAGTTGACTCAGTCTTTCTCCAGCAACTATGGCAGTCTAGCAGTTATGGCAGACTACGCAGAAACACTATGTTCAAGCATTATTGGGGTTTGCCTAGCATGCATAACACAGGTAGAGGCAACAGGACTGGAGATAACTGCAGTCAGGGCTGTGGCACTTCACAACACCAGAGTGCCTACTGATCACATATTAGAAATTTTATAAAAGCTGAAATGTAGTCCAGCCGGTGTAGCTCAGTGGACTGAGAGAAGTCCTATGGACTGAGACGTCCCAGTTCAATTCAGTCAGGGCACATGTTTGGGTTGTGGGCTTGATCCCCGGTGGGAGTTGTGTGCAGGAGGCAACTGATCGATGTACCTCTTTCACATAGACGTTTCTATCTCTCTCTCCCTTCCTCTTTCTCTAAAAAAAAAAATTCATAAAAAAATATTTTTTTAAAAAAAGTTGAAATGTAAACTCAGGAAGATTAAATGAAATCACTCAAAGTTATGTCTATCTTATGATGATTGCCAGGACTCAAATTCATCTCTAGCTAACTCCAGAGGCCACACAAACTTTGCTATCTTACTCTATTTCATACTAAATATACATTTAACAGTAATTTTTATATAGCAGGGGTCTTTATTCCAAAATCAGAAATAAAATTTCTAGTCCAAACAAAGCCCTCAACCTATTTTCTCAAATAGCACAACACTAAAATCTTACATATATCAACCCTCCAAGGAACTCACACTAATTGTGAATTCTTAAATATTATGCTGTAATTAACCGTAAAGGTTTCAAAACCAACTACACGCTCATAGTTATTCTTTTCTCATCTCACAGAAAAAAATCTTATAATTGGTAGTTGGAACACATACATGGTGGAGCTTTTATCTTTTCACCTCTCAATATGCTTTACTATTTCCAATTTTTCTTCCAATATGTGGGTTCTTCCTGACCTCTTAGTTTTACCAACTTTCTTCACAGGTTTTTCAACTTACTTTTTCTTTACTGATTTTAGAGACAGAGGAAAGGAAAGGGAGAGAGAAAGAGAAACATTAATGAGAGAGAACATCGATTGGCCGCCTCCTGCATTCCCCCCACTGGGGATTTGGCCAACATCCTGGGCATGTGCCCTGACCAGGAATTGAACCAGTGACCTCTTGGTGCATAGGTCGATGCTCAACCACTGCGCCATATCAACCGGGAGGTTTTTCTACTTTCTTGAAAGACATTTTCACTTCATGAGAGGAAGATAGCTATACTGCATCATACACTTAAATAACCCAACCACAAGATACAGTCCCTATGCAAACTGCTGAGATACAATTGCATTCTACATTCCCTTGCCTAAACTTGCAAACCATTTTTAGGGCAGGTTTTTTTTTTTTTTATCCTCACCCGAGGACATTTTTCGATATTTTGTTCAGATAGAGTGGGAGGGAGAGAGAGAGAGAAACATCGACGTGAAAGCGACACATCGAGTGGTCGCCACCCACACGACCCAACCAGGGCCGGGGACAAACTGCAACCAAGGTACGTGCCCTTAGCGGGAACTGAACCCGGGTCTCTCCGGACCGCAGGCCAACGCTCTAACCGCTGAGCCAAACCGGCCAGGGCTAGGGCAGGTTTTTTATCTGAAAAGTAAATTTTGGGCAAAATGGTTGCAAGCTGCTATAGTGGGTGTCTGGATAGTAAGAGCTCATGGTGAGGAATAACTAGATATTAGTTACAATGTAAGTAGACACAGGAACTAGAGAAAACACAATAGTTTCACACTATTTGGCAAACTGCAAACAGAGGTATTTTTAAAAATCCCAGAAGGACCTAACTGGTGTGGCTCAGTGGTTGAGCATTGACCCATGCACCAGGAAGGAAGTTGCTAGTTCAATCCCAGGTCAGGACACATGCCTGGGTTGTGGGCTTGATCCCCCAGTGGGAGGTGTGCAGGGGGCAGCCAACTGGTATTTCTCTCTCTCTAAAAATCAACAAAAACATATTTAAACACACACACACACAGAAGGAACTGGCACAATAACTGATGCTCATACACTCAACCTAAAGCCATCAAGAAATAATTCATCTATTCCAAATACTCCATTTAATAAAGAAAAGCCTTTCTAAACTATATTTCATATTATCAAAAACTTTTAATGGTTCATTCAAAGGCACTCCTACACAGTAAGTATAGTGTATCTTTACTTATCATTGGCAAAAAAATAACAGTCATAGAGGCAGTACAAGAAAACCCAAAGTCAATGAAACCTTAGTATATACTCCATGATTAGTGTGTATCAATTTTCCTACCCCTTTATTTTTGGAAGTATAATATCTCTGCATTTAACAGTTTTGAACCATAAGTTATTACACTAAAAAAAATAATTTATTTGAATTTGTAACAGGTTTACAAGGTTCAAACTTCAAATCATACAACATACAGAGAATCTTTCCGCTCTATCCCCAGAAAACCCTGAAACAAGGTTCTTGTTTATCAGTAAAAGAACACATGTGTGTGAGTACACATGCAACATGCAGGCACACACTCACACAACACACAAACATATGCTGTCTTCCTGTTTACACAAATGAGCTTTTCCTCCTAACAATATACCATGGAAATCTTTCCATAATCTGTACTTACAGAGCTTACTCCTCATTCTTTTTCTTTTCAACAATGGCACAGTACTGTATAGTATGGAGGACATGCCAAAGATTTTAGCCAGCTGTCACGAAATATTGAGCCTTTTCCTTCTTTCTATACCCTACTCTCACATCTCATTGACAAACTGCACTGTCCTTTCCTTTTTCTGCAAAAACCAGAACTTTGAAGTCCATGCAAACTGGTATTCTGTAAATGTTTGTTGAATGAAATGATGAGACATTATGAATACATTAATAAACAATTTAAAAAGTCCCTGCCTGGAGCATTTTATTAGCTACTCTTAAATTATCATGGAAATGTAAAACAGGGAGATAACAAATTAAATTTATGATATTTTCAGTATTTACCTTTGGCTAGTAATTTAAACATCTCTCCTTTCTATATTCTGAAAACATTTTATCAGCACTTTGTATGCATAGGTACTAAATAAAATCTGAATGAATGACCAAATACGAGAAAGAACATATCCTTTAGTGAGGGTAGTTAATTATAAGTGAAATGAACAAATGGCAGATAAAACATTAATAATTAAGACAAAATAAGTATTTTAATTCTTTACTCTTGAAACACTGCACATAAACTTTTCATTGAGCTCACCCATTTGTTGAAAAAGGAGACAAAGCCATATCCCTTAGATTTTCCTGTTGCCATGTCTTTTACCACTCGGGCATCTCTGAAATCAGAACAATCAGAAGTTTAGGTTTGCAAACTCTCCTGTAGATAACAAGTGAGAATTTTATACACAACTCATTTTCATGTTTCATCTTCATTAAAATAAACCTTTAATGCAAATTCACCTTTTATTTTATAAAATTTATCTTGTATTAGCAAATGAGGCTTAATTTCATAAACATGCAAATCAATAACTTCTTAAACATTATGAATGAATACACTGCACAAAAACTGCCTCCTATTTCAAAGTTTTAAACTTTTAAATATTAATCATGGTGAGGACAGCTATTCAGTTGAATTACTTAACCACTTACAGGGTTGACAGGCACATTAGATGAATGGTTTTCTTTAACCATGCAATTTATAATTTGCCATGTGATACCATATACTACCTAATCATTAAAAAATTAAAATAGAAAACTGAAAACTATGAGAATAAAAGACTTGTATATTCCCTAAATTAAGTAAATTATTTTCTCAGATCAATTCATTCCCCCACCCCCTTTTGGACTATTGGTAAATTTTGAGAACTTGACATTTTCAAAAATGTTAAATAATTGAGGGAAAAACTAGACACACACTTTAATTTTAAATTATATATGCAAGGATTTTATACTGAATTTTAAAATAGCAACCATATAAGATTGATTGGAAACTACAAGATATAAGAGCAAAATTTTTAAAAGTCAGAAAGTAAAAAAGCACGCCAACATTTATCCATTGTGAACCGTAGCTTGTAGTTAGCCAGGGCAATTCTGTCCATTCTTCAGAGATACTCTGCAAAATAACCAGAGCCCTATTATTTGAGATTGAGTAAAAAACCCAACCATGACAGCTAAAACTCCATACCTCAAAAAATTGGACTCAAATTGTGCTTCACAGGCAATCTGCTTTTAAGCTAGCCAGGTATGTAATAATGCTTGTTCTCTCAGGACACATGAACAAAACAGGCACTTTTACAACAAAAACCCAAGTCAGAAAGCCATGCAATATAATTTTGTATTCAAGTATACATAAGCATATTTCGATAAAATTAGGAGTGATTTATGAAGTGTTTAAGGGTCAAAATGACAAAGAGGTAGTGGTAAAAAAGGAAAACTAATGCAAGTCACTTCTTAATATGTAAAAACACTTATTATCTGTATGGTACACATGCATTAATTTGGTAGCTTATTCACTTTTATACCAAAACTCGTTAGATTACCCTAACCTCAAGGAATAAGAAGAGTTTACTATAGAGAAAGAAAGTACTATATTCTTTATACCATTTACTGCGTAGTATCTTCTATAACTCACTGTTGTAGGATCTCTACTGAGACTATCATAAGAACCTTCCAATATATAGTTATCAACTGATCTCCTTTAACAAAAAAAAAAAAAAAAAAATCAGGAAATGATGCTATCCTACTGGAAATGGTTCTTTTAAATTTAGGAACACACTGTTGGGTAGCCTAAAGCTTAAACATTATTTACATATTACCTCAACTGAAAATTATGAAACTTATGGAAAGGCCTTACTAGAGAAAAACTAATATACATCAATAATCATAGTTGGCCATAATAAAATCTGCAGACTATAATTATGATACCAACATATTTAACAAAAAGAAATTATTAATCCATGATTAAAAAATCATGAAATTACTAAAATTTTAACGTCATTTAACTTAAACTCACTGATTGTTAAATAATCTTTTCTAACCCCAAGCTAAAATTCCCATGTTTTCAGAAAAGTTACTTCAATTGAAATTAAAGCCTTTAATAAAATAACTATTTACTCTGTTAAAATATTTAAAAATTTTCTTCCTAGAGTTGTTTTAGGAAATGCTAGCCTTGAAATACATTAATTCTTACTTATTTCTGAAAGGATTCTCTAAGGAAGCAGCAGCAAATACCTAGACCAGGGTTCTTTAATTCTTTTATAGTCCTATGACTACTCTGAAAATAGAATAAACTTATAAACTCTACACCAAAAGGAAAACAAACACAGCACTTTGCATACAGAGATTTATAGAGCCTTTGAGAGGCCAAGGGTTAATACCTCCCAGGCTAGATATTTTAAAGAAAACTAACCATCATCAAAATCATCCTAAAACAAATTAAAAGGAACAATCAAGAAATTAGAACTTATTTTCCTAATAAGAAATGTCACCTAACAGAAGAGTCCATTTATAAACCATAATCTGGCAACTGCCTCTAAAAGTGATCCCTTACTGTGCATATTCATCATCCTACCCATGAACTACAGCTTTTCAAATGAAAACTCTCCCAAAATTCATCACCAATACATTTACTTTTCTTCTCACCTCATCTTTGCTTTTGGTCTGTTCATCAAACCAAACCAAAGCTAGTGTTTCCGTTATGCTTCAATTAAGATAATTTACTACTCTTCTAGCTAGAACAATAATAAAGCAACCAGAAACCCTAAAAAAAATTCTGTTTTCTAAACAGAATTACATGATTATGTGTAAGAAAGTACTATTATCAAATTATTATACTTACTCTATTATGGCATGTTTTTCAAAATATTAAAGTTCTTTTATGATGAATACTACCTTGAGTGAGCTATTTACAAAGGGCTTAAACTGTATGATTAATAATAAATGCAGGCAGGACAGAGCTTCACAAAAAACTAAAAGGCATTATTATTGTTATTGTTGTTAACAGTAACAACAAAACGGTAGACTGCCTTGGAATTAACATTTAGTAACTGTTTCGGGGTTAAAAGGAGGTTTCTTTTTGTTAAAATATAGTAACGAAAAATGCATGGTATCATAGAAGTGACCAAAAGGTCTAAATTCCTTAGTCATAGCACAAGTTCACTAAAGATTATGACCAAGCTAGCAAGACATTTACATATGAAACAGTATGTAGAATAGTAAATTTGTCTCTTAAAATTTAATACTAATTGAAAAAAAGACTAAGATAATTGAAGACCAAAGATTTATTTATCAATGGGAAAACAATCTTTGGCTCTTAACTGCTTGAATAATCTCTAAACATGTAATACATTACATTCAAGTGTTAAAATTAATGTCCAAAATTCACATTAAATTTTTGAAGTACTTCTGAATAAGATTGTTTCTAATTAAAAGTATTTTACTTTTATCTTCTGTTACTTACGATATTCTTCCAAATGGTGCAAACGCAGCTTTTATATCTTCAGTTGTAATTTCTGGACTGAGATCACCAACAAAGACATGGAAATGATCTTATAAGGGGAAGGAAGGGGAAGTGAAAAGAAAAATAAAATTTTAGAATTTAAAAATACTAAAATGTTTTCAATAAATTATTCTTAAAATAATTTAGGGATTATAGTAACATACAAACAAAACACTATTCTATATCTATACAAATCCTATCAATTTTCAACATAATCAATCAACGTGACAATACAGGAAAACTCTCCTAAAGACTGATATATCTAACTGAGAGTTATATTTCCACTTACAGCCAATTATTATACTGATCTAAGAAAATAAACTAATAATATATAACAAGTTCTGAAAAAAATTAATGGCTTAATTATCATTTTAATAATAATTATTTACATATAATCAGCTTACCACTATATTAAAGCTTTACAAATTATAATAAAATAGTGGTATTGTGAGTTATATAGACTAGATTTGCCTCAGTTAAGACAATTCACTGAAGCTAGCTACATGATATACTTGGTTTAACCATATTTTGTGAAGAACAAGCAAAGAAATACCTTGCATTGCAACAGTTTGATGTTAAAGTATTTGACAGTTTTCTCAAAAGCCAACAGTTTTGGTTGCCCAGACATTACACCATTCAGTTTATGTGAATCCATGTGCATGTGAACTAAGACTGAAGGCAACAGAATGAAAACAGTAATCCCTTCACTTTATATTAGAGCCATTAAAAAAGCATTGGAGAAAAATAACGATCCCATGTGAAGTTAAAAAAAAAAAAAAGACAATTCTCAAGAAAAGAAACACTTAAAAAATACGAAATAGTTGAATCAACACTTTAAAATACACATATATATTAATTTTGATAAAGTATATTTGGAAAGAAAAGTTACCCCTACTTGGCAGGCCTTAAGCAACATAATGCGTTGCCATTTGGGAAACACAGTTTCTGGAGCAACTCAAGCAATCTGAAGATCTGGATATGGAGCACAGACTGTGACCTCAAGGAAGCAGGGTATCTTGCCCTTTAGTTGGTGAAAGTATTTCTAAGGCATCAGCTGCCTCCAAGAGGGTCAGAGAGCTTGAAATAGCACCAAAGTAGTGGACAAGCCACACTTGGTCAACACTGGGAAGAAGGGGGAAAAATATTGCCAGAGAGACAAATAGAAATACGACTTCCTCCCTCCCCACTCCCCCCAATATCAAACAAACAAAAAAAAACTTCAAGTGGTTAGTGAATACCCTTTCAAGAGATTTCATTTTATGTTTAAGAAGATACAATTACCTTGTGAACGCTGTGTGCTGACAACGGTACTACCTGATGACAAAGATTAGATTTGTTCTTAAATTTATTAACACAAACACATTCAATCATATCTTAGGATAACGATCAAAACATTACTGCAAACATGTATGATGTTTATATGCTTTACAATAAAACTACTGTGCATAACAAATACAAACGTTCAAAGAGTATAAAATATACTTACTGCTTGTATCTTTCTTTTGACTGCTGGGGGTTGTTGCCCAATTCACTTTGACTTCCTAAAAAAATGTTTCTACATTTATATTCCATAAAAATAAAGCTCAAAATCAGATATTACAAGATCTTCATCTACATTCATACAGGACTGTGTATGTTTGAGATGAAATAGATACCAGTTCTGGTCACAGTTTCTCATCTTTTAAACTAGTTATGCAAATAATGTTGCCAAACCATAATCTCACATACTTCTCTGTTAACATTCAACAAACCTTTCTTATTTAAAGTACAATGAATTTTTGCCTTTTATTCTTCCCCATTAGTATGCAATGTTCCTAGATGTTTCATCCAAGTTTGAGTAATTCAACAAATATTTCAGTATTTACCATGTGCAAGGCACCATGAAAAATACTAACATAAACATGCCCTCTAAAATACTTATCCCACTTTTTTTTTAGAAAAGGTGCAACCTGCCCAGCCAGTGTGGTTCAGTTGTTGAGCGTCGACCCAGAGGTTACCAGTTCGATTCCCGGTCAGGGCACATGCCCAGGTTGTGGGCCAGACCCCAGTGGGGAGCATGCAGTAGGGGGGGGTCAATCGATGTTCTCTCTCATCGATGTTTCTCTCTCCCTCCCTCCCTTCCTTTCACTCTAAAAATCAATAAAGAAAAAAGAATTTAAAAGAAAAAGGTGCAAGCCAGGCATGTGTCCCAACTGGGAATCGAACCGGGACCTTTCAGTCCATGGGATGACACTCAATCCACTGAGCCACACCAGCTGAGCTATCCTATATTTTAAATAATGAACAGGATCTTTTGCTATAAAGTGAATATATAATGCTTCTAGAAAGGAAACAAGCCTGACTGGTGTGGCTCAGTGGACTGAGCATTGTTCCCATGGACTGAGAGGTCCTGGTTCGAGTCTCAGTCAGGGCACAGGCCTGGGGTTGTAGGCTTGATCCCCAGTAGGGGGCATGTAGGACGCAGCTGATGCATGTTTCTCTTACATGTCAATGTTTCTACCTCTCTCTCCCTTCCTCTCTCTCTCTAAAAAAATCAATAAAAACATTTTAAAAAATAAATATAAAAATGAAACAAAATTATGTAACTTAAAATTTCTAGTTCAAATCACCTTTAGTTATGATAGCTTACCTTACCCATTATCTTCCGCCCATTCATAGCAGCTAGTGCTGCAGCTGCATGACGATGCTCATAAAACTCCACAAAACAGTATGGATCATTTCCAGCTGTCTGTTGAAGAATAAAACAAAATAGCCAACATTAACTTTTATATTCCCATTTCCTTAAAATTATAACATCTCATTACCAGGCCATGAAAAATAGAGGGTCCACTCAACAAGCAAATCTTTGGATAAGGAAGTAAACACTTAAAAATGAGCTATTTTTAGCCCTGGCCAGTTTGGCTCAGCAGTTAGAGCGCTGGCCCAATGAGCCACGGGTTCAATTCCGGTCAAGAGTACATACCTTGGTAGCTGTTTGTCCCCAGCCCTGGTTGAGGGTCATGTGGGAGGCAACCAGTCCATGTCATTTCACATGAATGTTTCTCTCTCTCCTTCTCCCTCTCCCTCTATCTGAAGATAAATAGAAAAATATCCTCAGGTAAGGATTAAAAAAAAAAGCTATTTTATAGAAAGCTATCTTCATCAACAAATTATACTATGTTACTATATATAATTTAATCTTTTATTAATGACTAAGTGTCCTAATTATGGACAAATGAGTATCTGGCTACATTCTCCCCATCATCATATAATACAATCTTTTCTTTAAGCTACAGAGGTTAAGTTTGACTAGAACTCAACGTTTTCAAGAATTGCTACTGGCTTTTCTATCTGTTCCCTATGGTGTTACTTTTTATTGCTATAAATATACATATATTCGTGCTACCTTTAACTTAATAAACAGCAGAAAATATCAACCAACTATCTTAAGCTTGTTTCTAAAATATAAATAGGCTCTGAAGCCTGTTCAGAGTGGCTCAGAGGATTGAACATTGTCCCATGACCTGAGAGGTCCTGGTTCAATTCCCAGTCAGGGCACATGCCTGGGTTTTGGGCTTGATCCCCGGCAGGGGTTGTGCAGAAGGCAGCCGATAAATGTTTCTCTTTCACATCAATACTTCTATCTCTCCTTTCCTTTCTCAATAAAAAAATCAGTAAAAACATATTTTTAAAAATAATAATAAATAGGCTCTGAAAATTGAAGAGGTTCTCTGGTAAGTAAAGTTTTATAATAGGTTATAGGATCTGACATAATTTTTTAGCTGCTTAGTAGTCTTTTAGAAATTCTCTCCTCTTTTCTGCTAGTGTTCCAAGTAGTTGACATTTGATGACACACGAAGCCTGGATGTTTTATTTTAAAGAAAAAAAAACACCCAAAGTTTATAACAGTGCAAAATACCAAATGACTTCATAGACCATTTTAAAATTATTTCTATAATCTTTTAAGCAAGGATGTTAAATTAGGAAACCAAAAAATTATGATACTAGAATAAAGAAAGATACCATTTTGTTTCAAGCACAATTAGTAACTTTAAAAAGTCATTAAAAATGACTCTTTTTTTGCTGTTAATCCTCACCAGAGGATATATTTTCCCACTGATTTTTAAATAGAGCGGGAGGGAGGGAGAGCAAGTGAGAGACACATTGATTGGCTGCCTCCCACACAACCCCAACTAGGGCTGAGTATCAAACCAGCAACCCAGATACGTGTCCTTGACAGGAATCGAGCCCAACAACCCTTAGATCAGAGGGTCGACACTCTAACCACTGAGCAATACTGGCCAGGGCTAAACAATTACTTTTTAAATACCTAGTAAAAAGAGAGAAAAACTAGAAAACAATAGAAAAGAAAGTAGCAGATACACATATACACATATATGATTTTCTTTCTTGGGGAAAAGAAAACCAAAGAAGACTGAGATAAAAGCACTCTCTCCCTTTTCAATATGTTTTTATTGATTTTTTTTTGAGAGAGAGGAAGGGTGATAGAGAGATAGAAACACTGATGTGAGAGAGAAACATCAATCAGCTGCCTCCCTACTGGGGATCAAGCCTGCAATCTGGGCATGTGCTCTGACAGGGAATTGAACAGGGACCTCTCAGTCCATAGGATTACGCTCAATCCACAGAGTCACATAAGCTAGGCAAAAAGGACTCTCTTTAGCATTGTCTTTTCCATAAAAAAAAAAATTTTAATGTCTTTTTTGTACATATTATGATGCAGGGCTAACACCAATTAGATGAATTAATTCAATGTTTTTTCTATACATTAAGGTCTGATGGATGATAATCGCCCTAATGCAAGAAAAACTTGAATCATGTCCTTTATAAACAAAGTAAAAAACATTTCACAGTTTATTTTTGACCGAATGTCCCAATCTAATTATAATAACTGAATTTCTAGATTAGCCTATAAACTGATACTGAATATAAACAATTCTGATGCTTCGATGCACCTTAAAAAAGAATATGTGTGTGTGCATATTTCTCATTTGCTCTAGAAATGATTAGTTCTGCTCTTCATTTTTTTTCGAATTTTTTTTTTTTTAATCCTCACCCAAGAAAATTTTTCCATTTTTTTATTCAGATAGAGTAGGAGGGAAAGAGAGAGAGAAACATCGATGTGAAAGGGACACATCGAGTGGCTGCCACCGGCAGGACCCAACCAGGGCCAGGGACAAATCGCAACCAAGGTACATGCCCTTAGCAGGAACCAAACCCGGGCCTAACAGGACTGCAGGCCGACGCTCTAACCGTTGAGCCAAATCGGCCAGGGCTCTTCTTCCTTTATTTATTTTTATTTTATTTATTTTTATCCTCACCCGAGGACATTTTTCCATTTTTTGTTCAGGTAGAGTGGGAGGGAGAGAGAGGAAGGGAGAGAGAAACATCGATGCGAAAGGGACACATCGAGTGGTTGCCACCCGCACGACCAACCAGGGCCGGGGACAAACTGCAACCGAAGTACATGCCCTTAGCGGGAACCGAACCCCGGTCTCTGTGGACCGCAGGCCGACGCTCTAACCGCTGAGCCGAACCGGCCAGGGCACTTCTTCCTTTATTTAATAAAACAAGTTAAACTCAGTGACCAAAACTGATTCACTACAAATTCACTAAAATCCCTATGAACTCAGACTACATAAACTAATTTGAGAGTTCCTGCAGTAATGGATTTAAATAATGCATATAAATAAGGAGAAAGTTAACTTAAGTAAAATACCCTTACATCCATAATCATTTTGCAGTTTTTACAAGGTCCAATCTGGCTAAAGAGCTGGAGAATTAGAGCTTCTGTCACATCTCTGGAAAGGTTACCAACATACCTGAAACACAAAGAAGAACATTTACCATTTTCAATTTGCTTCTTTTGATCAGTTTCTAAAGTTGGTTACTGAAAATGAATTTAGGAATAGGTAGATCTTTACCTTAAACTACACTATTTGGGAATAGCTTATAAAAATTTGCCAAAACTTTAAAATATCTTTCAAAACAGATATAATATATGCAACCTTCAAGAATATTAACACTGCTAGTATAGGGGAAGTTAGTGTGTGTTTTTAGTCAAGGTGTTGCAAATTAAACCTGTTATTTCTAAGTTCCTAGGCTTACGTTAAGAAGGTATGCTTTAAAAATCTCTCAAATGAATCATTAGATATATAGAACATTTTATACAATCAATCCTGAAAAGCTTTGCAATTATTTCTACTACAGTATTACTAAGAACATTAAAATGTCCTCAAAAAAATTTTTTTTTCTTTCTTCTCACCCGAGGATATTTTTCCATTGATTTGTATAGTGAAGGGGGTGAGGGGGAGAGAGAGAAACATGGATGTGAGAGACACATTGACCAGCTGCCTCCCGAAACACCCTGACCAGAGCCAGGGATTGAACCTGCAACCCAGGTATGTGCCCTTGATTGGGAATCAAACCCGAGACCCTTTGGTCAGCAGGCCAACACTCTAACCAGTAAGCCAAACTGGCCACAGCTTCCATTTATTTTTAGAGAGAGTAGGAGGGAGAGAGAAGCATCCAGAGAAAGACACCATTGGTAGCCTCCTGTAGATGTCCTGACCAGGGCTGGGGATCAAACCTGCAACCCAGTTACATGCCCCTGACCAGGAATTGCACCCAAGATCCCTGGGTGTGAGGGCTGGCACTCTAACCACTGAGCACACAGACCAGGGCAAAATGGCCTCGATTTTTTTGTTAATCCCCACCCAAGAATATTTTTCCATTGATTTTTATTTTTTATATATTTTAATCCTCACCTGACAATATTTTTCCATTTATCATCAGATAGAGTGGGAGGGGGAAAGGAAGAGGGGGGGAGAGAGAGAGAGAGAAACATCGACTTGAGGGAAACACATCGACTGGTTGCCTCTGCATGACTCCAGCTGGGGCCAGAGATCCCATGTGCCCTTAACTGGGAATCAATCTCGAGACAGCCAGGGCAATGTCCTCAATTTTTAATTCATGATTTGCCTAACACTGTCCAATTTAGGTATATTTTGGTTTACACAATAAACTTATTTCTGAAAAACCACAGGTAAATCATTTATCAGGTGTTGTAAATGCTCACAAATGGATAGAAAACCTTTCAATGAATTATCATTGATCAGTGGATGTGGGGGAGTAGAAAGATTCCAGGAGAGGCCTTTAACAGTATGAATTGGTGACAAGCAAACTTAACTGGGGTAGTGTATTACAAGACCACATGACTGGTATAATTTTTATTTAAAGAATTTATAAATAAATTTTCTAAATGGGATTTTGAAACGAGATTAACTCTAGACTTGTTAGAAGTTTATTACTTCTGAAATCAGAGCATGTAGCCTCTTAACAACTGTAGTTTCTTACTCTTCTGCTAAAAATTCTTCAGAAAACATGTTGAAAGATATGGATTCTTTTCAGAAAAATAAACATCTATACATGTCAGAAGGCGTGGATTCAATTCCTTCCTTCCATTTACCCATTCCAACAAGGGTATACTGAGCGAATACTATAAAGGCCCTGGAATAGGTTAAAATGGAAAGGGAGTAAGTGCTAAATCTATCAAGTAGAATAATGATACTAAAAAAGCAAAACCAACAATTACCCAATAGCAATTTTTCCAGAATCGCAGAATATTACACCAAGTCCTCGTTCTAAAAATCAGTAATTAGAGAGTAAGAATTAAGCATTTACCTTGCTTTTTGAGCAGAAATTCCAGTGTAGTGTAATCTAATAGCTCTAGTTGATGACAGAAAAGCTCTTCTTTGACTAGAAAAATGCTAGTCAATAAATTTTGACAGACCACATTAAATTAACTATGTTTAAGCTCTATGGGTATTATACTACAAATATTTGAAGGGTGCCAAAGTTATCACATAGATCACTCAAATGAAAAGGGAAAATACTCTTTTAAAAAAAATACATTTTTATTAATTTTTTAAGATAGAGAGGAAGGCCCTGGCCGGTTTGGCTCAGCAGTTAGAGCATCGGCCTGTGGACCAATGAGTTGGAGGTTCGATTCCAGTCAAGGGCACATACCTCAGTTGCAGTTCGTCCCTGGCCCTGGTTGGGTCGTGCAGGAGGCAACCAGTCGATGTGGCTCTATCACATCGATGTTTCTCTCTGTCTCTATCTCTCTCTCCCTCCCTCCTACTCTATCTAATGATAAATAGAAAAATATCCTTGGGTGAGGAATTAAAAAAATAATGAAAGCACCATGGTCATGAAAGGCATTGTCTCATATTAAAAGAGAACAAAGAGACGTAACTACAGTGGTATCTTGGAATGAATCCTGGAACAGAAAAAAAAAAAGTAGAAAAACTGGGAAACTGGAATAAAGCTTATACTGTACCATGCTAAATTTTCTTAGTTTTGATAAATATATAGCATGGTTATAAAAGTTGTTAACATCAAGGGAAGCAGCGTGAAGGTTATATGAGAACTGTACTTTATAACTCTTGTGTGTCTATTCTCACTTGACTCTCGCACCCTTAAGAAACTGTCAAGATTGCAATGTCTAAAAAAAAGAAAAAGGCTCTTCGAGGGTGGGGTAGGAGATGGATGGAGGGTTATAAAGGTGAGGGAGGAAATGGGGGACATATGTAAAACTGTCAACAATAAAAATCTATACATTTAAAAAATGACTCTTCTGAAAATTTAATTCCAACATCTGTGTACTTGCATAAAGTTAGATAACCTAGTGACAAGTGTACAGTATTTGGGGAACCTGAATTTTATCATTTACTCTTTGTAAAATTGTCTAAGATTTTCTGAGAAATATTTTGAGTGACATTAACTAGTACGAAGATGTGAAATTATAAAACAAACAGCCTAGCAGGTGTGGCTCAGTGGACTGAGCGTCATCCCATGGACTGAGAGGTCCCAGTTTGATTCCCACTCGGGGCACATGCTTGGATTGCGGGATTGATCCCTAGTGGGGTGTGTGCAGGAGGCAGACAATTGATGTTATCTCTCTCCCTTCCTCTCTTAAAAAAAAAAAAAAATCAATAAAAACATAAAACAACAAACAAACAAAACCATACTTTAAAAAGCACCATGGGGGCCCTGGCCAGGTGGCTCAGTTGGTTAGAGTGTCATCCTGATATGCCAAGGTTGTGGGTTTGGTACCCAGTCAGGGCACATATAAAAGCAACCAGTAAGTGGAACAACAACTTGATGTTTCTCTCTCTCTCTCTCTCCCCCTCTCTAAAAATAAACAAACAACTAAATAAAGTACTATGGTCTGTATTACCTTTACACTTATTTATCATTTTAAGTATTTGTTTTTTAGAGAGAGAAGAAGGGAGAGATAGAAACATAGGCAAATGGAAGAAACATAGATCGGCTGCCTCCTGCACGCCCCCTACTGCAGATGGAGCCTGCAACATGGGGCATGTGCCCTGACTGGGAATTGAACCAGAACTTATCAGTCTATGGGACTATGCTAAATCCACTGAGCCACACCAGCCAGGCATGTTTGTTTATTAGATGTAAGCTCCAGGAACCTCTATCAATTAACTCTACACACAGCTGTTTAGAGAAATGCTTTTCAAAGGAAGTTACAGAAACAATTTACTCTTAGCCTTAGGCACCATTGTAGTAAACTATAAGTAACATACATAACATTTTCATATAAAAAAAAAAATCAAAAGACAACATCTCTTTTTGTTCCTTATGCTAATACAAATACCCCATTACATTCGTCTTTTCTTTTTACCAGTAAGTTAATCATTAATACCTATCTCAAATTTTCAGACCAACTTAACAATGTTATTACTTTTCAAGTCTATTCACTAAATAAGCAGGAGTTTGAGACAGAACACCCAAATGTGAAATCTGCAGATCCTTTTTCTTTTAAAATTGTCTTCTTTATTGATTTTAGAAAGAGAGGAAGGGAAATGGAGAGATAGAAACATCGATGAGAGCCCTGGCTGGTTTGGCTCAGCGGTTAGAGTAATGACCTGCGATCCAGAGAGACCCAGGTTCAGTTCCCGCTAAGGGCACATGCCTCGGTTGCAGTTTGTCCCCAGCCACTGGCTGGGTTGTGTGGGTGGCAACCATTCGATGTGTCTCTCTCACATCGATGTTTCTCTCCCCACCCCCATCTGAACAAAAAATGGAAAACTGTCCTCAGGTGAGGATAAAAATAAATAAATAAAACTGTTATATATATATATATAAAAAAAGAAATAAACATCGGAAACATCGATGAGAGATAACATCAACTGGCTGCCTCCTGCAGGCCCCCCACTGGGGATCTGGCCCCACAACCTGGGTATGTGCCCTGACTGGAAATCAAAACAGCGACCACCTGGTGTAAACAGAGATATCAGTCCTGAACATAAGGATTAAAGAAGCAGAGTTGAAAATAACACATTTTGGTGGCAAACAGCAATGAGTCCATGTCCAGTGAATTTGGTCCTCAGTGGACTCCATACTAGTATATTTTCTGGAATGGCCTGTGACTTGATTAGGACTATGGCCTAACAGTTCTCTTCTTTCCTGAATGTTTCCTTTTTTGCGTGCGCGTGTTTCATCCTCACCTGAGGACATTTTTTGCATTCATCTTCAGATAGAGTGGGAGGGAGAGAGGGGTGAAAAGAGAGAGAGAAACATTGACGTGAGAGAGATACATCGACTGGTTGCCACCCACACAACCCCAACCGGGGCCTGGGACAAACTGCAACCGAGGTATGTGCCCTTAGTGGGAACTGAACCTGGGCCTCTCTGGTCCACTGGCCAACGCTCTGACCACTGAGTCAAACCGGCCAGGGCTCCTGAACATTTTCTAAGACAGGTTCTGTAATCCTCCTGCAAATTTTGTAGTGTCCTT